AGGGATAGCCCGGCGGGCTCCATGGTGCCTGGTGCTGATTGGCATCTTCCATCTGCGTCGTCAAACGGCTGCCCTCTGTGGTCTTTTGCAACCTAAGCGCTCTCGCCATGGCTGCCCTGTCTGTGATCCTGCTCTGGGTATCTGCCCGGTCTGTAGAAATCTATAACAGCATTTTCTCCCACTGTCATTTGCTGGGGGAATCTTAATTGGGGGGGGGGTTTAATACCCTCTGCATCAAGTAAATTCACAGCCCCTTGCATCTGCCTTTATTTTTAAAAGCCGTGAAAAGCACCCAAGAGGTCTAGCAGTAGATTTCCTGTGTCGCATTTACGTTTGGCCTGTATTGTTCGGCATCGTCGGCTTTTTCCCTCAGCCCGGAGCTGGACTGGATGGGCCACCCTTCATCCTGGCTGGATCGTTGAAGGGCCTGCTCTTTCAAAGGAAGGTGCTATAATGAGTGGGTTATGCCGAAAAGGTTATGATTCCTTTCTAAATCAAAGAAGAGACCCCCTTCACCGGTTGGGTTCACTGATGTTGGTGCAGGATCATCTTCTTACCCTCCCACCAGGGCCTTGCTGAAGCAGAACGCTTGGCATTTCCTAGCAGGAGGGTCCCTGCTTGAAATCTTGATTTATTTATAATTTTTTGGTGCCATTTCTGAGTTGGAGTAGCTGGTGGGTGGGGAGGAAGAGTCTTGGCTTATTTTCTCTTCCCCCCCCCTTGCTCCTTTTGCAGGATGGTCTGCAGCTTTGACTAGGGGGTGGCTGGGTTGCGTCAGAGAAGCCTTGGTTTGTGTTTGCAGTGGTGGGTGAAATTTACAGCGCTAAGCAGGCTTGCCAACATAACAGATTGGTGATACTTCCTTGTTCTCTGGCGGATCTCTTGGGTTGAATGCCAGCTGGGCAGCAACATGCTGTGCTTGCTGTTTTTAACTTGGAGAAGTGTGATCACATCCCCCCCCCCATCCCAGGTTCTGCACTGGATATCCATGCTCCTGACCTGGACTTTTTTGTTGCTGATTTTTGCAGACCTTAGATGAATTACTTTTAAGGCCCGAGTTTTCAAAGCATCTGCTTTTTATTGTATTTTTTTTTAAATGATGCTGATATTTACAGATTCTAAATAGGATCGTACAAGGTTCTAAAAGCCTGTGGCCTGTGCATGTGTGTGAGAGAGAGAGCAATCCTCTACCTGCCACTTTCAGCTGAGCCCTGTCCTACTCAGATCATGGGCAAAAGAAATAACAGAAGATGGGTTTTTGTTAGGAAACACATATTCTAAGTGCGGATTCTAATATTACCAAACTCCATGCACAATAGAAAGGAACCTGAGACTTTGGACAGAAGTACCCCCCTCCCTTTTAAGGGTTGGGGAAAACTCTTTGGAAGTAGATAAACCAAAGCAGATGATTTCTCCCAAAACTTAATAAAGTCTTCTTACTGGCTTCAAAATACTGAAGGCTGAGATGGCCAGGGGTGGGGTGGACTGAAGCAAAATGAAATGGGGTTTCCTGCAAGAGGGCATGGCTGGCTGAAACTCTTGAAGAGGAGAAAACTCTACACTGCAATGTTTTGTTGCTTGCCCTACTGTCTATCAGTTAGTGATGAGAAACCAAAGTGGAGCTTCCATGGATTAGAGTCATTGTACCTCATTGCTAGAGGATCAGGACAAGCAATAGGGCCTGTCAGTTGTATCACAGGCTGTTGTGGAGCATCCTGCTGGTGGCAGTTTGCAGACATTACAGACTACTGGGCTTTGATGTACCGGATGATACTGTATCCCAACAAAGCAAGCCTCAGGGTCTTGTTAGCTAGAAAGAACCCTAATGGGAGTTCCAGCGAACGCCGTGTTAGAGAGAAGAGGTGCAGAAGGCCTTACCTGCCAAAATCTAGCCCATGCCTTTCTTAGATTTGCCTGTCCAGTTACTGGTGTTTGGAAGGCATGTAACCTTTTTCACAGTGTGGAAGAGAAATGGTCAGCAGCTTAAACCATGTATGGCTTAATAATGTTTTAGGGGGAAAGAATTACTTAAATGCTTCTACTATAAATGCAGTTTGGTCGTTGTTCCTAAATCACCATGTGGATTAGGGCACTTGAAATCCAAGCAGTTTCTCCTGCCTTGACAAAGGATTGCTTATGTTTTTTTTAGTGTGGCATTTGCTTGATCCTTTTAAAGTATCCGTACACTCACTGTTGTCCGCTTTTATATTGCCTTTTAATGATAGAAACCACCTTGGGTCCTTTTTAAGGAAAAAGATACTCACTGTTGTCCGCTTTTATATTGTTTTTTAATGATATAAACCACCTTGGGTCCTTTTTAAGGAGAAAGGTGGGGTAGAAATATTTTCAGTAAAAAAGCATTAAAAAAAAAGATTGGACTAAATGACCTTTGAGGTTACTTCGACCTTTCTGATTTCATCTTTTCCCCTTTCCTTCCTGGCTGTTGATAGGTCTGGAGAGAAATTCATCCTTTTGATACAAAACACTCATTTCTTTCTGATCAGAACTGGCATTGGGCCATATAATTGGAGGAAGTTAGCTCAGTCCTTTGAGATGGATTTTGCTGGGCCCTGTGGCAGCCCATAGCTACCCTGGTAAACTCAACAGTACCAATTATCATTTGGCATTTTCCTTTTTCATTGGTCTTAGTCTACCCCACACTTTGGTGTCACGAACTGAGCAGGGCCCCAGTTAAAGAATATAGCTCTTAGGGGAGCGGGTGGAGGTAAATTGTCCTCCCTCCAAGTCTGGAAAAGGGACCCAATCTATTATCTGTACCCAAGGCAAAGTGCCAGGTTAATAGAACCTAGTCATCCTCATTTCTTGGTGGTTAAGGTGCCCCAGAAATATGAGGCTCTCTTTTCATCACCCTCTCTCCTATTCTTCTGGCTAGCAAGAATGAAGGAGGACGGTCCTCCCTCTCGCTGCCGCCCCCCCACCCACGGTTCCTTGTTTGGCGACCAGCCCACCCTTCCTCCATCTCAGCCCAGCCAGCTGGAGCTAAAGAGGATGCATTGAGCAGACTGAATCAGCTGGAGGGAGGAGAGGGATGGGGTGGGGAGGGCAGCCCAAGGGATGCCCGAGAAAACATGATAAGCCTTTTCCGTCTCTCTTCTTAGCCCCACGCTTCTTACAGACCACCCCGCCCTACACCTCCTGCCTCTCTTGGCCTTCTGCTTTAACTCTCTTTCTAACCTGCTCCGGGGGAGAGAGCTGAGATGTCCCCTCGGCTGTTCCCAAAATACCTTGCCTCCACCTTGCTTTTTTTATGCATTGCTTGTCCCACTGTGCCCCCCCCCCCAAAAATCCTGGCTGGGTAGTGGGAAGGGAAAAACAGGTGGACAGCTTCCTCTCCTCCCTCCCTTCTATCTCATCTCACTAAGTGCTGTGGAGGGGGAGTAGGAGGGGGGGGATTAGCGCTGCATTTATTAATCCTGATGCCAATTAACCTCTTCTGTGCCGCTGGCTCCAGCTTCCATTTTCCAAGCAAAGCTTTTGTCGTCCTTTGCCCCTTCTCGCCTCCATCATGCGCACCCTCAGATTCTTGGGCAGGGTGCCGATCGGAGGAGCGACACCCAGACCCCTTGCTCCTCCATTCCCCCCCCACCTCCATTCCCCTGCGTGTGTTCGATGGCTAACCGCACTCCACCCTGGCCTGGAGGGAGGTCAGCCTTCAACCAAATTGCAGCAGCTGCTTAATCGCTCACAGCACCAGCTTAGCCACGGAATCCAATTTAATCCAGGCCTCACTTCTCCATTGTTGTCCCCCTTATACATGTATACACACACACACACACACACACACACACACACAAACACACACACACACACCACTTGCTTATTCTGTTTCTTTGATTCCAGAGGGAAAAATACAGGCTCTATATATACCTGGCACGCATACCTGTTCTTACCTTCTTCTTTGGCTCCCCACCCACCCCATTTCTGTTCCACCTCTTGTTTTAGGGAGAAGGGGATCAGTCAGGAAAGAATTCCCAGTTTTTCTCATGCAAAGTGTCACTTTTGTCCGTCCAGCAGAGGCAGGAAATGGAGACCCGGCTGTTAGATTCAGGAATGGCTAGGGCTGCAGAGAGAGTGGGAGTGGCACTAAAAAAATATTTTGCAGCTTGATTGCCATTCTGCTAACCTATACCAAACCCATTGCTGTGGTTTCTAGGACCCGCCCCCCATGGTCCCGAAGGCATCTTGACTTTACCCCAGGCTTCTTCCCAAGTAGACCCTTCAGACGAGCTCTCCCCTTGTGCTTCCGTTGCCCCACCTTTGGCCTGTGGCATTGCTTGTTTCTCTAGTTTTTGGACTTCCGCAATTCCTTCCAGGACTTGGGTCCTTACTTAGACTCCTATGTCTAGCTCTGGCATGGAATTATCTCTTCTTCTTTTGTGCTAACTTGGGCACAAGGGGTGAATAAGTCCTTGTCTGTTCATTTGGTCCAACAAGAGGAACGTTAGGAAAACAGGGCTGTTGTTCAGAACTGAGCTGAGCTATCTCTGTGGTTCAGCGGTCTGAGGCCTCTTGGGTGCGAAGAGGGAGAAAGAGAGAGGAAAGCCAGGCAATAGCAAGCACCTGCTTCCCAGCGAGGAGAGTCGGTGCCAGCTGCGGGAACCTGCCTGGCTATACGCTCGAGGGGTGGGTGGGTATCCCGTGGGAGGACAGAGGGGCTTTAGGGAGCTGAGGGGAGGGGTACATTTTAGGGTGTGGACATGAGGAGGATGGAGAACTGGCGGAGGAGAGAGTGGGATGTCAGAAAAGAAGGAAAGGCAGGGAAGAGAGAGACAGCGAGGAGGAGGTCTCTCTGACTGGTGGGAGTGGGCCCAAGGAGAGAAAGGGCTGCTGAAGGAGGGGCTGGTGATGCAGTATTAATTTCCATCTGGGAGCTGGTCTCCATGGCAACAGTGAAGATCTGGCAACTCCATGGGGAGCGGTTACCACAGCAACAACATCCCCGTGGTTGCTGAGGAGGAGAAGAGAGAGAGAGAGATGGTGCAAACAGAGACAGGAGGGAAGAGAGGGGAAGAATAGGAAGTGAAAGCCCAGGTAGATGTGAAGATTTAGGGGCTGGGATGGCCTGAATATGTCATTCGTTCCAGGTCTGCCCCCAAACACCCTCTTACCCTGCTTGCCAGCAAGGAAAGAGGGAACTGCTTAAAGCAGGTATGGACAGATACAATTGGACTGCAGCTCCCAGCGTTCCTTATCATTAAGCTGTGCTGGATAGGGCTGATGGGAATTGCAGTCCAGCCCCACCTCGAGGACTGCCCTTTGCCCACTTCTGGTTTGAGGTAAACCCTTTTGCCTGTTGTTGTTCTTGTGAAACATGTTGCCAGACGGTCTTCTCTTCTCTTATGTGTTGCAGGGCACGGGAGCAGCGCTTGGCCCGGCCCTGGGGACTCCCCAGGTGGCCATGTTCTGTGGGAAACTAGTCCTGCATCTCAATGTACAGACAGGGCACTGGGAACCAGATGCCTCCAGCACCCACACCTGCTTCCGCACCACAGAAGAGATCCGGAGTTACTGCCAGGAGGTACGACATATGTTATACGCATGTGTCCCCTTGAGTCACAAAGCTACTTACAGTAGAGGTCTTCTCTTCCCTCCACACACTTTCCTCCTAAATCCTGCTTCATTCCTGTTCCTTACAGCAACCCTGTGAGGTAGATCACAGAGAGAGAGAGAGACTGACTGGCTGGCTCATGGCGATACCATTTGTTTTGTGGCTTAACGAGGTCTACAGGCTAGATCTCCCCCAAGTCCCAGTCTCCATCCCAGTGGTCGAACTGTTGCACCACACTCGGTCTGTCATCCTACTAGGCTATCTCCAGCTGTTGCTATCCTCACCATTTCTATCTACATCTGTTTAAATCTGTTTTGACTCTAAATCCAATTAGTCCAGTGGTACCTGGTGGAGTTTCTCTACCAAATATTGGCTACTCTGGCTGGCAGCATCACTCCCAGCAGGTTTCACATCACCCGCCACTGCCTGATCCTTCCTTAATCTGGATGTCAGAGATAAGTCACCCGATGAAGCCAAGCAAGTCAGTTAAGTGGGTGGAAAGTCTATCTGAGTCCTCTGCACACGCTATTCGGAGATCCTTGGAAGAAAAACAGGCTACAGACCTCCCAACAAGAACATAATAAATGTGCCTAGCTCATCTTTGAAATATTATCCCTCTGTGCATTATTATCCCTGCATACCAGGCTCTCTGAGGACCCTCCTGTATGCTTGAGCTCTCAGTTAATGTTTCTGGCTTGAGTAAACCAACATCCTGTGGCACCTTCACGAGTAACATTTTTATTATAATATGAGCTTTCATGGACTACAGCCATGAAAGTCATCAGATAGTCCCTGAAAGCTTATGCCGGATAGAATGTATTTATCTTTAACAAGCCACAAGACTTTGGGTTGTTGTTGTTTTTTTGCTGCATTAGACTTAACTTGGCTACTTCCTTGAAAATGATGGTTGGCAGGTTAGCTAAATCTTTCAGAGTCTAAACCACGGGTCAGGTGCCTACGATTTAAGGATTTGCACATTCCATCATGAGTGGAGTGATTCTAAGCCCCTCAAGCACATGGTGAGCATTGGGAGCATTGGTGCACGGCCTTCTTCTCGCACGCCCATGCATAGCCATGTAGTGTGCTATTGTTTAGCATTACGTTGAGGCACAACCAGGGCTCAGGAATGAGTCTCCTGTTAAAGAGCTTCTTAGGGCTTACCCCACATCTGCTCTTTCCCTAAAAATGGCCAGTCAAACCCTCCTCAACCTTTACGGGACATTGTGAGCATTGGGCGCCCAAGGTGGGTTGAAGATGGACCTATTTCGGGCCCAAGGAGATCTCTTTTCAAAACTAGAGGTTACTTCCAGTTGATTCAGTTTTGGAAAAAGTCCTCCTACAACCTAAAACAGGTTGGGGGAGAGATGAAAATAGCCAAACCCACCCCTTGAAGCTGGGCTGGGCAAAGTGTGGCCTTCCGGTTGTTGTTGGACTGCAGGTCCCATCACCCATAGCCATTTACCGTATTGGCTAGGGCTGGTAGAAACTGCAGTCCAAAACCACCTGGAGGAGTGCAGTTTGCCTACCTCTGTCTTGAGAGACGTCTGGGGTTGTGGTCATCCATTTGCCTGGCCGGTCCCATCCCCCCGCTGCCGCCACCGCCCACAGGTCTTAAGCAGACAAGTGGCTGAAATTGTGTCATTTAGTGTAGGATGTTGCAATTAGAATAGGCCCATTGAATCAATGGGGATTTGGTGAGTCAACTCCATAAGTATAACTCATAACTTAGAAGTTCTGAGGGTGGGTGCCCTTGGGGTTGGTGGCCTGGGTGGCTCTCTCACATTTGGGGGGGGGGGTGACCCTGGCTGCTAAGAATGGGATTACCAACATTGGCTATACTGGCTGGGGCATTCTAGGTGTTGTTGTCCAAAACAAGTAATCCTTCTGAGGTCCGGCCTGTATCGCTCACAATGAATCTTTGTTCCCATGAAAGTGGACTCTGCATGTATGGCTGCTTTCTCACGTGCACTTTATACTTGCATTAGGCAGTTGTCACCAGCCGTACAAGCAGAACCCTTATTTTGAATGCAATTGACAGGGCCATCCAGTCTCATCATACATGCACTTTGCTTATACTTCGGTGTGTTGTAAAGTGTAAAGCCAGCAAGTCTACTGAAACTTGTGGAGCAGCCCCTATAAATTTGCCATGATTAATCTATGTAAGCCAAACCGTAATAGGTGACCGTACACTTTTACACCACCCTTACTGTAATACTGACCTTCTTGCTGTAAGCCAAAGATCTGTGTGGTCACTCGGATATGTTCCTGCTTATTTCCTTGACTTTTCACATTGTCAGTAACCCTAGATTGTCCCTTTTCCTTCAGGTCTATCCAGAGCTGCAGATTACCGGTGCCGTGGAGGGCACCCAGCCAGTCACAATTGACAACTGGTGCAAAAAGGGGCGGCCCAGATGCAAAGGCCATCAGCACATCGTTGTACCCTACCAGTGTGTGGGTAAGTTCAAAGTCTAGAGCAGCCATAACGGGTCCAGCAAAGTGTCACGTTCTCCATCCATCTGCACCCTGGGGAGATCTGTAAAACGGGTGTAAAGAGCAAGATTATAGGAAATCTTTACTGCTTAAGTGCTTCAAGCTAAAATAGGATTGAATTTAACTCTGGATGAGGAAGTGTCCAGACTTTTGCTACACGGTTACTTGGGGATAAGCCCCAGTTTGTGAAGGATTCCTGGGTTAATCATTTAGCACAAATTACTATGTCCAGGATATCAGGTGAGATATGTTCATGTGAATAGATTACAATATGCGGTATTTCTGAGAAGTACATGCATTATAATTAACAGGTTGGAGATGTGAACAGGCTTCGTGTTAAATAGTCTTCTCTCCTCTTAGATGGTTGGTCCACCATACCTAAAGAGTGGGGAAACTGCCCCAGCAGGTCTTGTTGGACTCTCGTTCTTATCAATTCTAGTCATCATGGGTACTAGTTAACGATGATGGGAACTGGGGTTCAGCCGTTGATGGAGAGTCGCAGGTTCCTCATCACTGAGTTAGGCTAAGATTTAGGGACACCTGTGTTTAAAACCCATTGCTTGGCTGTAAATTTTGCTGGCTAACATTGGGCATAACTTACTTTGCAAGGGTTCTGTAAGACAACTGTGTACATTGCCTTAAATAAAGGCAAAATAAAGAAATATAATGGTAGCGAAATACAATTTGCAATGGCATCTGCTTCCTTTTTTTCCAGTGGGTGAGTTTGTGAGTGAAGCCCTCCTCGTGCCCGACAAGTGCAAATTCTTGCACCATGAGAAAATGGACTCGTGCGAGACCTACCTGTATTGGCACAGTGTGGCCAAAGAGGTGAGCACTCACTGAGTTCAGTGAAGGTGATGAATGTTTTAAACCAAGCTCTGCTGGCAAAGAAAGGGCTCCGAAGATGTTTCCCAAGAGTTTGCAACACATATTCTTTTATATCACAGTCTGGTTTTAATTATAACTATGTAGGGATAATGTAAATTCCAAGTGTTTGATCGCTAGAAATTGTACTTTTTTCCTCTCCTGGTGGATTTCTGATAAAAGGTCTCTGGAAGACATGATGTGAACAGATTTCTCTGTGTTGCAGTTCTACAGCCGTGCGGAAGATGTAGTGCTGGCAACCTGATTCAGTTTTCTAAGAGTGCCAGTTTTGTTTTGCAGTTAAAGCAAAGTTCTAGACCTCATCATTGTGAACATGTAGTCCATTTCCCAAGTGAATCTTGCAAAATAAACAAAATAAATAATTAAGCTTTAAAAATATATAAAGCAGCCTTCCTCACTCATTGACTTCCTCACTCATCATGTGTTGCATTAGAGCAGTGGTTCTTAACCTTTGTTACTCTGATGTTTTTGAACTGCAACTCCCAGAAACCCCAGCCAGTACAGCTGGTGGTGAAGGCTTCTGGGAGTTGCAGTCCAAAACTCCTGAGTAACCCAAGGTTAAGAACCACTGCATTAGAGCATCTGTGATCCACAGACAGTGATTAAAGGTTAGACATAACAAATACGCACTAAATTCCTTGTGCTTCACAAGAAAATGGGGGTTACCTCTGGATACCCCACTGAAAAAAAAATCATTAAGTCCTTCATGATTTTTCATTTCTGCAAGAAAGTAAAAACACCAGGGGTTTTTAAACCAGAAGTGGCATTAACAAACAAGCATGTTTTCTACCTGATTTGTGCACAGAAAACATTTCTAAATTTTTTATCAGAAACATCTTGAAATACAGGGAGAGAGGAAGGTAAATCTCTTTCCATGTCACCCACAGTGGAGAGAATTTTTAGTTCTCACTGGCAAGAACCAAAATAATATCAAAAACTTTCTCTTCATTTGGAGAGCAAAATTAAGGCAGGAAGAGTATCAAGTTGGGAAAGACTGATGTGAAATATATCCTGACCAGTGGGAAGTTTAAGTACATTTTCTGTTATTGCTTGTTTGATGTAGGGTTTTTGCTTTTCACTGTTTGTTTGCTTATTCCACCCAAGAGATGAGAATAAGCTGAATTTAAACATAATTCCACATCATGGTCTTTTGTGCTCTTTAATACCAGTGCAAAGAACCCCTTCTGTGGAGCTGAAATAAAGATAATAAACAAGGGCTGGAAGTTGGTTATTCTGATTACTGTTCTAACTGTGGCTTGCTGTTGATTTGAAATTGCAAGCTGCAGATATGATCATGGTTCCACCTACCAGGGAACCAAGAGTGAATGTACAAAGTTGTGTGTTGAGCGGACTGAAAACAAAAACAGACAAGCTGTTCTAAACCATGGTTTACCTACTGTGTGACTGGAAGGTCACACTCTTGGAACACTTTGGACATTTATTCTTGCCTTCATAAAATATATGGTTTATGAAGTACGGTTTATTGACCTTCCTGTACTGGGGCATATAAATTGGACATTAATCCCTAGCTTTATACACTTCTTGTTCATGGTTTGTAAACCTGAATGGTGTATCAACTTGAATACACCCGGTATGATTTTACCATGACAAGTAGTCTCTCCTTCCCTCTCCCAACTTCCTGGCTTGTTAATAATTTTTTTTCTGATTCATTAATGAAAATGAACCCAGCTTAGAGGCAACAGCAAACTGCCTTAATATAAACCAGGATCATTGCATTGAAGCTGGTGTGCAGATGTAACTAAGGGTGAGAGAGGAAGACTTGACCTCCAAATGCTCATTCCTAGCTTCATACACTGTGGTTTTCGACGCCGGGAAAGATCATCTGGATAACTTTAACTGTATGGATTCTTCACTGTAGTTAGCAGTGTTCCACTGAGCTAGTGGGTGAAGTTCTGATGTTCTTCATCTCCTGTCCCCAGGCCTGCGGTGTTGAGGACCTAGAGCTCCATAGCTATGGGATGCTGCTACCCTGTAGGGCTGATCGCTTCCGGGGTGTGGAGTATGTGTGCTGTCCTTCACGACCCTCCCCTCTCCAAGTGGAACAAGTCACTGAGGCTCCTCAGATGCTTGCCCATATGAGGGAGGATGCTCTGCACAGGTGAGTAGGGGACTCAAAGCTGAGACTACCATCTGCCCTCTTTACTGATTTATTCTCTAAGGGATGCGCTCTAGATCTGGAATATAAGGTGAACTTTGCTAGGTGGGAAAATACAACCCACCCCCCCCGCACACACACCACAAGTTCATCCTGTTACTGGCAGATTTGTTTTTAATTGTGCAAGATTCAACACAATGTTCTTCTTACATGATTGCTGTTTTTTCAGTTGATTTTTATTTATTTTTTTAAAAAAACATTTCTACCACAAACTTAATGTAGAAACTTTATAACAGTCTGGACGTTTTCTTTTTTAAAAAACAAAAGTGCAAGCGATGCAGTTCATCACCAGTGCCCTATTACAGTCTTTAAAAAAAAATCACAAACTTTTGTACACAGAGGCACAAAAGAAGTATTTAATTTGCCAATATCCTAAAGTAGTTTTCTTCTTAAGCCACTTCATGATATGGTGAATTGACACCAACAGGCAATTGTACAGCTACAAGGCTCCTTTTGGTTCGTTTTCAGTGATTGCACGTGCTAGAAACAAACCAAGATGGAGAGATGATACCCATACCAAGAAAGGAGAATCTCTGCCAGGGGCCCAGAAAGGTGTGGGTAGGAATCCTCTACATGTGGTTTGGTTCACTCCAGCAATTAAGTCAATGGATCACCGAAAAGAGAGTGGACCAAACCATCCCCACAGCAGACCAAACACCAAGACAAAGGCCCATCTCATCTCACCCAAAAACACTTTAAAATGTCAGCAACTGAAACAGAACTGGAAGCCACACATTGATAGATGAGGATGAAGCCCCAATCTCACTAGGCACCACATTTTTGGATGAATGTTTTTAATTGCTAAAACGAAGACAATGTTGGTGCCAGTCAGGACTCCAGAGGGAGGACTTTGCTCCTCCTGAGGGACATAGCCAAGATAGCCCTGTTTTGTGTTCCGCTATAGACACGAAGAAGGGTTCCCCAGCCTTAATGATTGGGCAAGTATTAGATAAGGAGAGGTACCTTCTCATGTCTCCTTACACTTTCTTGAGGCATCTGTGCAGGAAGCTCCTAATTGGGTGGTGTGTCTTTTTTTAAAAAACAGTAACAAGGTTCCGACAGGACATATGCCAACTGAAGAAGAGAGCTTGGAAATGGAGGAAGATGGGGATATGGATGAAGAGGAAGAGGTGGAAGAGGAGGAGGAGGAAGAGGAGGAGGAGGAGGAGGAGGAAGGCCCAGGAGACAGTGCCCCAGACCCAGACCCCTTCCCTGCTACTTGGGATGACTATTTTGTGGAGCCAGATCACTACGATGACACCATCACCCAAACCACTATCACTACCACAACACAGACCACTGAAGAAGATGTCAAAGGTACGTTTGGAGGGCAAGGCCAGCGTGAAGGGGCTGGCTTCACTGGATGCTGGGTTTGGCCCCCTTGCAGGTCTCGTTTGGACAGTGTAGGTTCCCCATCTCTGCTCGGGGACTCCCTGAACCCATCGCTCCTGTTTCTAGGTCTTGCTGCCTATTCCTTAATCCCATCTGAATGAGCAAAGGCGGTTGGGTGCATGAGGAGAAGAGGCAGCAGATCACCCTCTTTCCCTGCCTCTGGGTAGCCATGCTGGTTGGGGTTATGAAAAAAAAAGGAGAGCATGGAAAGTTACCTTTTTGCATTACAAAACCCAAAATCCCCAGGCTGCATGGCTTGCTGGCTGGAGAATTTAGGTAATTTTCCAAGCCTCGAGGTGAACTAGATGACCTCCACGTTCTTCCCCAACTTTGGTCCTTTCCCAAAGGAAGGACAACTAGTAGAGCAGTGTCAAGGATGGGAGAGGCTTGGAGTGGGATGTTTACCCTCAAGGCTTCCTGGATCCCAGAAAGCTAGCAGTGCCTCAGTGTGGCCATTGTTGCCGACGAGTCATTCCAAAGGATGAAACCAGTGGCGCCTCTGCAGCAGAACCCCAGCTGTTGGCACATGAAGGGAAGGGATGTGTGGAGCCAGCAGCCACAGGGAAGGAAATGCTCAGCTGCTTCTCTTGGTCACGTCTCCTCCTCCATCACAATGGGATGTTTGTGTCGGAGCTGCTCAGGACCTGGCTCTTCCTGGCACAAAGGGAAGACGCATTGAGCCCGTGCGTTCCTCGGAACAGGAGGGCACAGGCGGGCATGTCTGGCTCTGTCTGCATTGAACCAAGAGCCCGGAGGATGCTGTGCAATGTCTGTGGGGTGTAGTAGATGCTGTCTTCTCTAGACTTTGGAGAGGTTCCTTGTAGACCACAGATTGCAGAATTCCCCACGGAGAATGCTGATTGGGGGAGTCTTGGAGGTGAAGGCCAAAAAAAAAAGAGAGGAACTTTTCCAACCTCTATGAGAATGCTGATTGCGGGAGTCTTGGAGGTGAAGGCCAAAAAAAGAGAGGAACTTTTCCAACCTCTAGTATCATTCAACATTGGGAAGGTTTGCATGGCACATCTACGAACGTAGATGTTATATGACAGCCAGATTTTTAAGTGGGTCTAGTTACATGAATCACATAGCTGTCCTGTTACAGCTGCTCCACTGGCTGCTAATCCATTTCCAGGCACAATTCAAAATGCGTGTACTAACTTATAAAGCCCTAGGCAGCTTGGCTGCAAGTAATCTCCCTTTATGAGCCTGCTTGGGTGTTAAGGTTATCAGGAAAGGACTGTCTCCTGCTACGTTCACTCAATGGGGACGCAGGAGAGGGCCTTCTCTGTTGCTGCTCCCAGACTTTGGAACTCTTTCCCACAGGAGTGTGTACTAACTTATAAAGCCCTAGACAGCTTGGCTCCAAGTAATCTCCCTTTATGAGCCTGCTTGGGTGTTAAGGTTATCAGGAAAGGACTGTCTCCTGCTACGTTCACTCAATGGGGACGCAGGAGAGGGCCTTCTCTATTGCTGCTCCCAGACTTTGGAACTCTTTCCCACAGGAGGCCAGACTGGCTCCATCTTTACTCTCCTTCCACATGCAAGACCTTTCTCTTCAGGCTGGCTTTCCCTTAATGACTGGCTGCCTGTGTGGGTTTTTTTAATGGACGGTTGTACCTTACTGCTTTGAACGTGGTTTTGGTGGTTTATCATATCTTAGTGTGGAATTTGCTTGATCTCTGTCTGGTGTTTGTGTACTTTCTATTTTTATCTGTAAGTTTTGTCTTAATAATGAATCTCCCTTTATGAGCTTGCTTGGGTGTTAACGTCATCAGGAAAGGACTGTCTCCTGCTGCATTCACTCAATGGGGACGCAGGAGAGGGCCTTCTCTGTTGCTGCTCCCAGACTTTGGAACTCTTTCCCACAGGAGGCCAGACTGGCTCCATCTTTACTCTCCTTCCACATGCAAGACCTTTCTCTTCAGGCTGGCTTTCCCTTAATGACTGGCTGCTTGTGTGGGTTTTTTTAATGGACGGTTGTACCTTACTGCTTTGAACGTGGTTTTGGTGGTTTATCATATCTTAGTGTGGAATTTGCTTGATCTCTGTCTGGTGTTTGTGTACTTTCTATTTTTATCTGTAAGTTTTGTCTTAATAATGTAAGCTGCCTTGTTAAGGAAAAGGGCGGGGTAAAAACATTTTAAATGAACGAACGAATTAATGAATTAATGTGAGGCTGTATAAGTTTGCCTAATGCTTTACCTTTCATCTCTACTGTGGTCTGTATGTCGCTTTGGATGGTGGGGACTGGGGAAATTGGCAGGTCCTGTGTAAACAAGTCTCGTGCCCTTTTCAGTAACCCCAACCCCTCGCCCCACTGATGGTGTGGATGTGTACTTTGAAATGCCTGGAGATGGGAATGAACATGCCAACTTCCTGCGTGCCAAGATGGACCTGGAGGAGCGCCGCATGAGACAGATCAACGAGGTAATTGCAAGACTGGCTCAAAACCAAGGAACAGCCAAGAGAACATTGTGGACAGATATCTCTTTTTGCTTGTTTATGTTTTGAATATCTAATTTATTTCCTCTTAAAAAATGCATTTTTAGATCTTTTTCTAACTTTGCCGTATCATTTGGTCCTCTTTATATAAGGCGATAAAATCTGAAGGCAATAGTCTACCGCCTGTCTGTCTGTCAGTAGCAAAAGTGGGCAGCCTGCAGGCTTCATGCAACCACTGTGTATTTAGTCTGAGGATGTGAATTTGACCACAGATGCTTGTCACATTTGCAGATGATACCAAATTGGGCGGAATAGCTAATACCCTAGAAGACAGAAGCAAAATTCAAAATGACCTTGATAGGATGGAGCACTGGGCCGAAAGCAACAGAATGAAATTCAACAGGGATAAGAGCAAAGCAAAAAAGCAAAGCGTGCTGCTTATATACCGCCCCATAGCGCTTCAAGCACTCTCTGGGCGGTTTACAATTTAATTATGCAGGCTACACATTGCCCCCCCCCCCCCAGCGAGCTGGGTACTCATTTTACCGACCTCGGAAGGATAGAAGGCTGAGTCAACCTTGAGCCGGCTACCTGGGATTTGAACCCCAGGTCGTGAGCACAGTTTTAGCTGCAGTACAAAGAAACCAATTGCACAGTTACATATATACCTGGCTCAGCAAAATTACATTGTCGTAGATCACAAGCTGAATATGAGCCAACAGTGTGATGTGGCTACAAAAAAGGCAAATGCTATTTTAGGCTGCATTAATAGAAGTATAGTTTCCAAATCCTGCAAGGTGCTTAGTCCCCCTCTATTCAGGGGGGCTCACCTTGAGTACTGTGAGGGCTTACTTTTGAGGGCTCACCTTGAGTACTGTGTCCAGTTCTGGACACCACACTTCAAGAAGGATGCTAGCAAATTGAAACAAGTTTAGAGGAGGGCGACAAGGATGATCAGGGGGCTGGAAACTAAGCCTTATGAGGAAAGGCTGAAAGACTTGGGCATGTTTAGCCTTAAGAAAAGAAGACTGAGGGGTGATACGATAGCACTTTTCAAATATTTGAAAGGCTGTCATACAGAGGAGGGGAACGATCTGTTCTTCGATCATCCCAGAGTGCAGGACATAACAATGGGATCAAGTTAAAGGAAGCCAGAACAGTGGGATCAAGTTAAAGGAAGCCAGATTTTGGTTGACTATCAGGAAAAACTTCCTAACTTTTATAGCAGTATGACAATGGAAGCAGTTACCTCGGGAGTTGGTGAGTCCTCCAACACTGGAGGCATTCAAGAAAAAACTAGATAATCACCTGTCAGATATGCTTTAATTGTATTCCTGCGTTGAGCAGGGGATTGGACTTGATGGCCTTGTAGGCCCCTTCCAACTTTACTTTTCTATGATTTCTACAATTAAAATAGTGGGATGTGGTGATTAAAATATAGCAGTTAGTCTTTAAGGTGCCATAACGTTTTTGCCTTTATTTTTTGTTTTGGCCTGATACACTGTCTATTTAGGAAGCTTATGAACAAACTGTGCAGGAAAAGGAAGTGGAAAATAAGATTTTCTGGTTTCATAAGCCACCCAGGATGACATTTCCCCTTAAAAAGCAAAAAAATAAAATAAAATAAAAGAAGCAAAAAGTTACAAAACTGGCAGCGTGTTTCTGGCTTCATGGGAAGCCCGTGAGGGCAAACCCATAGCAGACCCCAAGAAGAAACAATAAACCCTTGAAAAGTTTTCCATGCCTGAACTATATCTATTATATCAAATTACTGTAAATGTCTGAATTGTAATGAATATAAGAGAGAAAGGGACGGGTGGGTGGTCTGAACCGGCAAGTGGTGGGCTTGTGACGCGGAATTGCTTGGAGGCCTCTTAGTGGAAGGAACATCAGCCATGATTGCTTTGTTCCGATCTAACAGGTGATGAAGGAATGGGCTGAGGCCGACAACCAAGCAAAGAACTTGCCAAAGACCGACAGACAAGCTCTCAATGAGGTGAGGTTCAGAGAAGATTGTACTTTGGAGGCCTTCCTTGTTTTCCTGATTCTTTTGCTCAAGTCGTCCGATGGGCATGAGAGGGACGGCCTTTTCAGTGGTCACCCCTCATCTGTGGGATTTTTATCCACCGAGTTGCATGTGGCGCCTTCGATCCAAGTTTTTAAACCCTTCCTTTTACAAACCATCTGTTCAGCTTACTTTTTATAGCTGTTTTTGCAACAGTGCTAATTTTGGGAACCTTTGTGGTGTGCTGTAATGTTAATGGTTTGCCTTCTGTTTTAATCAAGGCAAAGGGACGTGGTGGCGCTGCGGGCTAAACCGCAGAAGCCTTTGCGCTGTAAGGTCAGAAGACCAGCAGTTGTAAGATCGAATCCACGCGACAGAGTGAGCGCCTGTCGCTTGTCCCAGCTCCTCGCTAACCTAGCAGATCGAAAGGATGTAAATGCGAGTAGATAAATAGGTACCATCTCGGTGGGAAGGTAAAATGGCATTCCCTAGTCACGATGGCCACGTGACAGCGCTGGCTCTATGGCTTGAAAAGCGGGATGAGCACCGCCCCCTAGAGTCGAACACGACTGGACTAAAAATGTCAAGGGGAACCTTTACCTTTACCTTTAATCACGGCAAGTGTTTCATACCTGGCTCTGCTCAACGTGTGAGCCGTGCTTAGCCCCACCTTCCTCCATTGTTGCTTTCCTCATGTGGCAAAGCCATGCACCTGAAGGGCCGAGCTTCCTGTTTGTGTGAGAATTTTCCTCATGAGCAAGAACCTTGATTTGCCAGTTAGTTGCTAATGGAATTTTCTGGTGATCTTCCACCCTTTCCTGGACTACGGCTGTGGAAACTTGTGGTCCAAAAACTAAGTTGTCTCAGCTGTGGTTGTACAACGTTGTACATGTTGGGAAAGTGTTGCGTTTTACATAGCTTGGAGATGCTCCTCAATTTGTCTCCGAGCTTGGATGCCCAGATTTTGGCAGTGGCCCGGGGTGCCTTTGCACAGTTAAAACTAGTGTGGCAGCTGCGCCCATTCCTGGAGAGGTCTCATCTGGCCGTAGTGACACTTGCTTTAGTGCCATCCCAGCTAGATTACTGTAATGCGCTCTACGTGGGGCTGCCTCTGGAAGGTGTCAGGAAAGTTCAACAATTCCAAACATGGCAGCCAGATTGCTGACAGAGACTGGGATCACATAACCGTCCTGTTACAGAAGCTTCCTGACTCATTTCTTGGCACAATTCAAAGTGCTGGTTTTAAGCTATAAAGCCCCAAACAGCTTGGGGGTCCAAACTATCTCAAGGACTGCCTCTCCCATTATGAGCTTCTCCAAGTGTTAAGATCATCAGGCGAGGCCTTTCTCTCAGCCCCACCACCTTGATAGGTGCATTTGATGGGGACACAGGAGAGGGCCTTCTCTGTTGCTGCTCCCAGACTTTGGAACTCCCTCCCACAGGAGGCCAGGCTGGCCTCATCTTTTCTGTCCTTCCACGAGCAGGCAAAGACCTTTCTCTTCAGGCAAGCTTTCCTTCAATGTCTGGCTGTGTGAGTGTGATTTTTAAAAGGACTGTTACGTGTTACTGTTTTGAATGTGTTTTTAGTATTGTTCGTGTTTACCTTTTCTCAGTGGTATTTGGATCCCTTTTAGTATTTGTACACTTATTGCCTTTTTTGCTTTAAATACTGTCTTTTATTGATGCAAGCCACCTTTGTATGCCCATATTTTGAAGCTTTAAATATTGTCTTTTAATGCCGCTATGTCCCTTTAGATGGGGGTTGAGGTATGGCTGGACCTGAATTAACCCCATCCCCCTCACCCCATTTGCGGTCTTTTGCGGGCTTGACTTCCGCAGGGCCGTAGCATCAAATGTGCCCGGCTATGGGGACTTGACTTGTTCACCCGTTGAATGGGCGTCTCCTTCATTTTCTTTGCTGCCCCAGCACTTTCAGTCCATACTTCAGACCCTCGAAGAGCAGGTGGCAAGGGAGAGACAGCGGCTGGTGGAGACTCATCTGGCCCGCGTCGTGGCATTGCTCAATGATAATCGCCGCGCCGCCCTGGAGAGCTACCTGGCGGCTGTGCAGAACGAGAACCCCCAGGTAGGTGAAAGTGTCTCAGAGACAGAAAGGGGAAGCGTTGGGAGGGTAGCTCGGACGGGGCTGGCTTGACCTGTATGAAAAGTTGCTCTGGGATTCCGAAACACATCTTTTTTTCCCCCTTTATTTGATAGTTCCATTTATGTCCTCTCATGTGTTTGGGGAAAATAGATGGCTCTTCTCCCTTCCACCACAACAGCCCTGCAGATTAGATCAGGCTGAGAGAAAATGACATGCCCAATGATACTCAATACGCTTTATGGCCAAGTAGAGGTAGATTTCAGATTTCCTGAGTCCCTATCCGGGGGGGCGGGGGTTTGAAGGACAGCCCCTAGGGGACATTTTTGCAGTCTTCAAGACCACACCAGAGTTCTGAAGCTTAATATTTGTCCTCTGAGGTTGGCCACCCCCACTCACACCAATGATTGCCGAATACTGCCATCCCTCCTGTCTTTAGATATTCTTCCCTTTCCTTTCTTCCCGAATCCAAGCACTTAGCCATTTGCTTTTTAGCTGATGTGTGCATGTCAGGGCTTGACTGTAATGCCTTGAAAGTAACATCATCTGCAATGTTTCCTTTGTTTAAGAGTAAAAGGGCGATGTGTTCACTGATAACGTTACATTCCAGTGCAACAATCAGTGACTCATTATTCCAACAACTTTGCCTTTTTTTTCTTTTGAGAAGGGTGTTCATTTTGTTTTTTAAAACAATAGTTTAAATTTTCTTTAAAACTAATTAGAAGTAAAATATAAGAAGCCACCACTGACAATGTAAAAGGTTATTTTTGAGTATCGATCAACCAGTAGCATAATAGATCACCTGCCCCTCATGCATTATAATGAGTAATGAAAGCTAAATACATTTTATAGGTAGGTAGGTAGGTAGGTAGGGAGGTAGGTAGGTAGGTAGGTAGGGAGGTAGGTAGGTAGGTAGGTAGGGAGGTAGGTAGGTAGGTAGGTAGGGAGGTAGGTAGGTAGGTAGGTAGGGAGGTAGGTAGGTAGGTAGGTAGGCACACACACACATACAGACAGATAGACAGATAGACATTTGAATACATTTATGCTAATATCATACATGAAGTAGTTCAGGATCAGAAGCAAGGATAGCTCCGTGGTTTAGGTCTCTGGCTGTGGAGTCAGAAGTTAGGTGTTTGATTCCCCAGTGGACCTCTTGCGAGTGGAACCAGCCTGGGTGGCCTTGGGCAAATGGCATAGTCTCAGGATGCCCCCAAAAGAAGGGAATGGTCAACCACTTCTGAGCATTCTCCACTTGATACACCCTGAAAAGGGTCTCCATAAGTCAGAATTGACAATGCAACATGATTATTTTAAGAATACCTTGAAAACCCTATGAGGGTTGGTAGAAGTTAATTCTTCCTTTTGTCAGAATTACATAAGGGTACATAAGAGAAGAATACCTAGCTCTCAGTCCCAAATTCTGGGGAAATTAAGCAAAATGTCACAATTTTTTGAATTTGTAAAAGTCATTAGATTTTAGAAGCTATTAACGCATTTCAAATGTAGAAAGAATTTAAATGGCTTGAAAACCCTATTAGGGTTGCTATTCTATTAATTCTTACTTTTGTCAGAACTACATAAGGGTACATAAGAGAAGAATATACCTAGCTCTCAGTCCCAAATTGTGGGGAAATTAAGCAAAATGTCACAATTTTTTGAATTTGTAAAAGTCATTAGATTTTAGAAGCTATTAATGCATTTCAAATGTAGAAAGAATTTAAATGGCTTGAAAAAAGTTGGGCTGTGAGATTTCCTTGCGCGGATGGCTATTATTCCCTGTATTCAAACACAGAGAGTAGGAGAGAAAAAAATTCCACCAGAAAAAAATACTTTTTTGGCAGGAAAAAAAAACAGTTTCTAAAAGTACAGTATCTGAAAACATCATACTCACAATTTATGCATTTTAGTGGCTTCGCCCAGCCTATAGAATTTCCTGCCTCAGGAGGCCGGCTTGGCCCCTCTCCTTACTGTCCTCCCACACCAGCTGAAAATGGTCCTTTCTAAGTTGGCTTTTGACTTCTAAATGCCTTTAGAGAAGGGGGAACAGCATATTTTTATCAACATTTGAGATAAATTATTTTTTACTTGTTTCAACTAATGATGCTTCGGTTTAATCTTATTGTAATGTTTATGTCTTAATTTTTGTGATATGAAATATATAATTTTTTTTAGTTGCTGTGCATTGCTTTGTGCCCCTTCACTGGGGGGAAAGCAAGATATAAATAAAGTAAACAAAGAAATAAACAAATAAATTTTCTTTGTTTTCTTCTTTTTCTGGCTGTCTTGCTATCTTCACACACCCCACCCATACACCCCATCTTGTTTATCCAGAACACAAGTCTGTGGACAAGGGATTCGGTTATTCCAAAGTCTCAGTGACAGCATCTAGTACTCTGATGATCAATGAATAGTAAACAATAACAAGTGTGTTGTTGAGTAGTGTGAATGCACAATAAGTGGCCGTTGTGTAAGAGAGAAAGAGAGATTGAAATAAAGGTTAATGTAGGAAGATGTTAAGCAACCCTGCAGTTGCATCTCAACAGAGAGTGAGGTGGGTAGAGCAATTTGCCTGGAACAACCCTCTCCAAAGCAGGCGGGTATATAGAAGAGGACAGTGTTCGCCCCTGTCGTCCTGCGTCTTGTGCATGGACAGTGAAAGGCAAATATTCGGCAAGCGATTATGGATCAAATCCAAAGCAGACATTGGATGAAATTCAGTAGTAAGTGGCAACTAGAGTAGTGCTCACGGAGTCAGTGGGGATTTGGTGAATCAGCTCTTCCCTAAATTATGTGACTCAGTGGGCCTAATCCAGTTGCAATTTGCCCACGGAGTCAGTGGGGATTTAGTGAATCAGCTCTTCCCTAAGTTATGTTGACTCAGTGGGCCTAATCCAGTTGCAATTTATTATTGGATTTCAGTCATTGTGTTCTATGCCTTGTGCATTTCATAGGAAATTCAGCAAGGATAGGATTTGTAAGGCAGGAAAAGTTGGATTCTCTGGACCGCATCTTCTTAACCCAGGGCCCAAGTGGAGTACTTCCCAACATCCCATTTTTAAAAACAAACCAAAACCCACTTCTTTATACTCAAAAAGTCCTCTGTTCATTTTAGTGGGTGCAGGAAGCAATTTTGCCATGTTGCCCTGCCTAGGAGGGTGGTTTTCTACTCCTGAAGTGGTTGTTTCAGCTTCTTCTGAGGGACGGCCCCTCCTGAATTTGAACCAGTTTGCAATTTATGGGCATCTGAATTTGCCATCATTGCTCCCTAGAGTATATGAGGTGCTGTTTGGGTGAGAAATTCAAAATTTAAGATGCCAGGAGGATGCGGGGATAGACATGACCCTAACCAGTCTGGCCTGTCTGGGCACAAGCCCCCCCCCCAACTTCTAAAACTTGCCCACCCCTGGGGTAAACCCTTGCTGGGTTCAGCTTCTCCTCTGTTTCAGTCAAGCTTTAAATTTTCTTCCCGTATTTGCTGGTGTGTTTGTGAGCTGTGCTAGCATACCAGTATATGCACAGCTTGGCAGTCGCGCTGCCAGCCTATGTTGATGGTGCAGAAAACTGGGTCTTGCACCAAAAGTTAAATGTAACAAGGCCCATGCTTCAAGCTTAGCCAAAGGGAAAACTCCCTCCATGGTCTGCATTCTACATCCTATATAACAACAGTACCAACAACAGCAATGTTCCGTCACTCAGAGCTACTCTTCATTTACTTTTCTTTTGGTGGTGTTGTGGAACTATGTAGCTTGCCCAAGACCCCCCAAGCTGGATCTTCTCCTGATATGCCCTTTGGGGGATTGAACTCTTGACCTATGGCTCCATACTCACTGTCTCTTCGTCTCTGAGATAGCCAGCCCACGTCCTGTATTCCTTACATCCGTGACTCCCAACTTTGGGTCCACAGATGCTCTTGGATTAAAGCTCCCAGAAGCCTTCACCACCAGCTGTTCTGGGAGTTGTAGTCCAAGAATATCTAAGGACCCAAGGCTGGGAGCCATTTTCTTGAACCAATCCCAATTGTTTAAATCAACAAAAGAAAGAAAGAAAAAGGGTGATCGTGCTCGGCAGGCGCTTGTTGTTATGCCGCAGAGAGCAAATAAGAAGGGAATCACTGGCATTCAGCTAAACTGTTTCATTCTCTTCCTGTGCCTCAGCCGGATCGTGTACTGGCCGCTCTGAAGAGATATGTGCGGGCAGAACAGAAGGACCAGCGCCATACCCTCCGCCATTACCAACACGTGGCTGCTGCTGATCCTGAGAAGGCAGAGCAGATGAAGTTCCAGGTATGGGTTTCTTCTTTTTGTAGATGAATTAGTCTTTGTAGCTTTTGGTGGAGGGAGCAGTGATCTGGCTGTGAGGCATAAGCAGCTTCCGCTGCCCATTTTTCTGACCTCAAGAGTGCCACCTCTGGAAAAAGAGAAAAGTTCAAAATGGAGAATTGCACTCCTGCAAGCCTTGAGGAAGTGTTATTGACATTTAAATCACATTTTGCCCTGCGTGATTTTCTAAACCTTCCCAGTGGTGGAGTGGTTAAACTGCAGTACTGCAGTCAAGCCGCTGCTCACAACCTGTGTTCAATCCCGACAGTTCAGGTAGCCAACTGAAGACTGACTCAGCCTTCTATTTTTCTGAGGTAAAATGAGTACCCAGATCACGGGGGGAGGGGGCTGTTTGCATAATTATGTTGTAAACTATCCAGAGACTACTCTAGCACTATAGGGTGGTATACAAGTCAAAACAACACCATCAAGTATGATATAGAGAGAGATAAAATATTTCATGCATCCAGGCCTTCCCTCCAGTCAATACCTGATTTCTTTCTATTTTCCTTTATTTTTTTTCCTTCTACTTTATTACAATTGTTATTGAACGACTATGCACATTCTTGAGTTTATTGTTTTATCCTATATTGTAAGCCGCCTAGAGTGGACGAGTAGTCCAGATAGGCGGGGTATAAATCAAATTGCGGGCAGAACAGAAGGACCAGCGCCATACCCTCCGCCATTACCAACACGTGGCTGCCGCTGATCCTGAGAAGGCAGAGCAGATGAAGTTCCAGGTATGGATTTCTTCTTTTTATAGTTAAATTAGTTTTTGTAGCTTTTGGTGGAGTGAGCAGTGATCTAGACCAAGATCCAGGTCTATAGAGCCTGTGTCCTGAGCACACTCCTGTACTGCAGTGAGTCCTGGACCCTTCATGCACGGCAGGAGAGAAAGCTGAACACGTTCCATATGGATTGC